TACACGAAGTGCGGAGCGCGCGAGAGTTCTCGATTAGTGCGTGTTCGTTTTGAACACGCTCGACCTTGAAATCATTTGATACACGAAGTGTGGAGCGCGCGAGAGTTCTCGGTTAGTGCGTGTTCGTTTTGAACACGCTCGACCTTGAAACCATTTGATACACGAAGTGCGGAGCGCGCGAGTTTTCGTGGCCAGGGATTGTTCAGTGTTGTCGCGTGTCGTAGTGAATGGTCGGCCGAGGGTTGCTCGGTGGCGTCGCGTTCGTGCGTAGTACTCGGCCTAGGTACATCCTTAGTCGAGGAGGGTACTCGGGAGGGAAACCTGTTGGGCGCGAGTGCACCTTTGGGTGGTCGGTTGAGGGTTGCTCGGCGGCGGCGCGTTCGTGCGTAGTACTCGGCCTAGGTACATCCTTAGCCGAGGAGGGTACTCGGGAGGGAAACTTGTGGCTCGAGCGCACTTTTGTGGTTTAGCCGATTGCGGCTCGGCTTCAGCGCGTGTAGTAGTGCTCGGCCTAGATACATTCATAGCCGAGGAGGGTACTCGGGAGGGAAACCTGTGGGGCGCGAGCGCACTAGTTCGAACAGTCGGCCCTGCATGAGCGTGACCTAGACGTGTATGCATAGTTAAAATAGGAAATGAAAACAATATTCAAAACGTGTTTGTATTAAGGAGGTGCCTCGTTAAAAACCTTGCCGACCCAAAACCCTCCTTAGGGAAAAAAGAGTCGGCCAAGGAAAAGAGTGCACTATTACATCAGCTGTAATACATCTTTAAGTGTGTCGAGTTCCAAGTCCTAGGGATAGGCTCTCCTGACAGGTATTCTAGCTTGAAAGCTCCATTGTTTAGGTTGTGTCGGATTCGGAAAGGTCTGTCCCAATTCAGGGCAAACTTTCCTTGTCTCGGATCTTTTCTTGCCTCGCCTGTGGCTCTCCATACAAGGTCTCCCTCTCGGAGCTCTCTAGGCTTCACCTTGCTGTCAAATCTTCTCTTATAGCGTTGCTTGGTGGCCTCCGCCACGACTTGTGCTCGGTCCCGAACGTCTTCCACAACGTCCAGGTTTACTCGAAGCTCGGCTTTGTTATTTGGCTCGTCCAAGTGGGCTCGGCGAAATGAAGGCTCCCTAATTTCCACCGGGATCATTGCGTCGGACCCATAGACTAAGCGAAAGGGGGTTTCTTGTGTGGTCGACTGGGGTGTGCACCTGTAGGCCCACAACACCTCGGGCAATTGCTCGGCCCATGCCCCTTTTGCTTCTCCTAGCCGCTTCTTCAACTTTGTTAAAATAACCTTATTGGAGGACTCGGCCTGTTCGTTCGTTTGTGGGTGTTCGACCGACGTGACTTTGTGTTGTATTTCTAGGCCAACTAGGAATTCGTTGAGTTTCCGGTCAGTGAATTGAAGGCCGTTGTCGGTCACCAGGGTATGTGGAACGCCGAATCAGGTAATGACATTCTTCCACAAGAATTTCTGGACTTGATGATTCGAGATTCATGCCAAGGGCTCGGCTTCAATCCATTTAGTAAAAAGATCGACGGCGACGATGAGAAACTTGCAATGCCCCTTGGCAACCGGGAAGGGTCCAAGTATGTCGGGCCCCCATTTGGCGAACGGCCATGCAGGAGGAATGCAATGTAGCTGCTCGGCTGGTTGGTGGATTAAGTTGTTGTGCTTCTGGCACAGTTGACACTTCTTCACAAACGTTGCACAGTCAGTGTTCATGGTCGGCCAATAGTACCCAGCTCGTAAAAGTTTGGAGACGGTCGTTCTCGCTCCGGAGTGCATTCCGCAAATAACCTCGTGGACTTCTCGCATCACGTAATCGGCCTCGGTGGGATCTAGGCATTTGAGTAACGGAGTAGAGAAGCCACGCCTGTATAGCAGACCGGCGATAACAACATATCTGCTGACCTGTGTTCTCAATCGTTTTGCATTGGCAGGGTCGGCTGGTGCGACGCCGTTCGTGAGGAATGCCTTGATTTCAGATTGCCAGTCGGTGGGGTCGATTAGGTCGGTGGTATCGGCATCAACACTTGCTATTACTTCTGCTTCGACGCTAGGCTGGTCAATTTCTTGCTGAATGATGGTTCTTAGTTGGCCTGGCTTCTTGGTCGCGGCCAGCCTAGCCAATTGGTCGGCTCAGGTGTTGTCCTCGCGCGGGATGTGCTCGACCAACACCTCTTGGAAGTTCGCCATCAACTTTTGGTAGGCATGGTAGTACTTCATCATGTTGTGATCATTTACTTGGAAGTTACCGCCCACCTGCTCGGCCATAATCTTGGAGTCTGTTAGGAACTTGATTTTCGATGCGCCCATGTCTTCAGCTAGCCTTAACCCGGCCAACAGGGCTTCATACTCGGCTTGGTTGTTTGAGGCCTTAAACTGGATCCTCAAGGATTATTCTAAAGTTATCCCCTTGGGTGCCTCTAGAATTACTCCTGCCCCACTCCCCTGGCAGTTCGTGCAGCCGTCCACACGGAGGATCCACCAATGTTCTTCGAAGTGGCCATGTGGGTGTAGTTCGTTCAAGAAGTCGGCTAGGCACTGGGATTTGATCGGTCCCCTCGGCTTGAAAGTAATGTTGAATTGTGACAATTCAAGGGACCAAGCCATCATCCTCCCGGCTAACTCGGGTTTACCTAGGACCTTCGAGATTGGGCAATCAGTGTGTACAACGACTCGGTGGCTCTGGAAGTAATGTTGTAGGCGTCGGGAAGTGTGTACCAAGCCTAAGGCCACCTTTTCTATCAGTTGGTACCGGGTTTCGGGGTCCTGAAGTAGTCGGCTAACAAAGTATATGGGGACTTGGCTGCCCTCCCTTTCCTGTACCAGAACCGAGCTGATCGCTTCTTCTGAGACGGCCAAGTACACTTCAAGTGGGCGTGAGGGGTCGGGTCGCGTGAGGATTGGCGGTGACGACAAGGTTGTCTTCAGTTCTGTAAAAGCTCCTTCAAACGTCTCGTTCCACAAGAAGGCCGAGGCCTTCCGCAAGAGCTTCGTCATCGGGCTGATCTTGTCGGCTAGGCGAGGGAGGAACCGGGACAATGCAACTAACCTTCCAGACAACCCTTGCATTTCCTTGAGATTGCTTGGACTCCGCATGTCCAAGACTACTCGACATTTATCTCGATTTGCCTCTATTCCTCTAGCCGATAGCATAAATCTAAAAAATTTTCCTCCTTTGACCACGAAAGTGCACTTTTCGGGGTTAAGCCTCATGTTATGCTTGCGTAGCTCTCCGAAGATTTCGGCCAGGTCTGCTAGGTGGTCGGGCACTGAGTTGGATTTCACCACCATGTTGTCTACATAGATTTCAATGTTGCGCCCTATCTGCCCTTCGAACACCTTATCCATTAGCCTTTGGTAGGTCGCTCCGACATTTTTCAGTCCGAACAACATTACTTTGTAACAGAAGTTGGCGTTCTCGGTGATGAACGCCGTTTTTTCCTCGTCGGCCGTGTGCATCTTTATTTGGTTATAGCCGGAGTAAGCGTTGAGGAAACTAAAGATAGAGTGCCCGGACGCGCCATCCACCAGTCGGTCAATGCAAGGGAGTGGATAAGCGTCTTTAGGGCAAGCCTTGTTGAGGTCGGTATAGTCCGTGCACATTCTCCACTTCCCACTCGACTTTTTTACTAAGACCACATTGGCCAGCCAGGTTGTGTACGTGACTTCACTTATGAATTTGGCTTGTAGTAATTTTTTGGTCTCGGCATTTGCAGCCTTCCTTTTCTCGTCCCCCATTTTTCTCTTCTTCTGAGCGACGGGTCGGGCGTCTCAGCATACGACAAGTCGATGACAAAGGAAGCTTGGGTCTATTCCTGGCATGTCCGACGCCGCCCATGCAAATAGATCTTTGTTGTCTCGAACCGTTCGTTTCACCTGGTTCGAATCGGCTTCACTCAGTTGGGATCCCATACGTGTAACCTGTTCAGACGTTCGACCAAGTTGAAAAGAAACGAGATCCTCGGCCGACTCGATTCGCTCCTCTTCACCTAAGCGAGGATCGAGGTTGATGGCTTCATTCATTCCCTGTCTAACCACATTCACACCCTTCGCTACCGTTAGGGGGTCGGCGATTGGCTGCACTTTCAGGCTAGAGAGGTAACACTCTCTAGCTGTCTTCTAATCGGCATGAACGGTTATTACCTGACCGTCTCTCGACGGAAACTTCATACATAGGTGGGGAGTTGACACGATGGTCCCCAATGTGTTGATGGAGGGTCGGCCTAGCAGGACATTATAAGATGTATTCGCATGCACCACAATGTAATGGATTTTGATTTCGCGGGATGAATTTTGGTCGAAACCGAAGCGGGTGTACAAGTCAATACATCCTCTCGTCATCACCCTCTCGCCGGAGAACCCCACTAGTGGTTCATGATACGGTTCTAGGCTTTCCTCTGGGATCCCTAGCTGCACAAAGGTGTTCCAATACAGGATGTCGGCAGAGCTTCCCTGGTCGACCAATGTTTTCTTCACAATGCAGTTGTGCATTTCGACTGAAATTACCATGGGGTCGTCTTGCACGGGGTCGACGCCACGGAAGTCTCGGTCGGAGAAGGTTATGGGGGGCATTCTTGGGATCCTTGGCTGGTTCACACTCCTCACGGATCGTACGGCTCAGAGATGTCTCTTTCGTGCTGAAGAGGTGGATCCGCCTCCGGCGATGGTATTTATCACCTTCCTTGGTCGGTCGGTATCTTCCCGTGAGTGCCGTGAATGTTCCCTCCTTTCAGGTGATCGGGATCGGTGACGTCGGTCTCTCGGCTGTTGTGCCTCCCGAGAGTGATCTGTCCTTGATTGGTGGTCTCGGGTGGTGATGAAGTTCCCGAGGTGACCCTATTTGATAAGGTCCTCGAGCTTGTCTCTCAACGTCGAGCATTCTTCAGTTGAGTGCCCCCTGTTTCGGTGGAACCGGCACGTTTTGGCTTTGTCTGCCCTGGGTGGTGTGTTCGCTCTTTTCGATATTGTAAGTATCTCGGACGCGAGGGCCTGTTCCATTACTTTGGTCCTGCTCGCGTTGAGGGGGTATACGCTGTGTAGCGCAGTCCTCTCGGGGGGCGAGCATTTGGGGGTTCAGCATTCGTCTTTCTCGCTGGCTCTTGGCCAGGTTCTTTTCGGCTATAAGTCTCTTCTGCCCTAGCCTGGTTTCGGGTCTCCACAAGTTCCTCCATTTGCATGTACTTCTCGGCTCGGCGCCGGAGGTCGTTCATATCGACTGGGGGTTTTTTACAATGGCTGTTCACGAATGGCCCGGACCTCAGGGCGGTGCTCAGTCGGTCCAACGCCACGGTCGGGTTAAGATTGCCTATTTTCATGGCAATCTTGTTGAATCGGTCCATGAAACTTCTCAGACTTGCCTTCTTCTCTTGACGGACCCCCGCTAAGGCTAACGAGGTCGTCGTGTACGGCTTGCTCGTCGCGAATTGGAGAGTGAATTGGGACGACAACTCGTTGAACGAGTCGATGGAAGAGCTCGACAGCTTCGTGAACCAACTCAGGGCCCTTCCTTTCAGCGACGTGGGGAATATTCGGCACAAAGCCGAGTCGTCTTGAGTGGAGAGGGTCGCCTGTGTCAGGAAGACATTCAGGTGTTCGTTAGGGTCAGTGGATCCGTCGTACTTCTCAATTGGGAGACTCTTCCAATGATCTAACAGGGTTGCTTCCATTATCCTTCGTGAGAAAGGGTGTCTTAGGTGGTGAACGTTGGTGTCGGCCTTGTTGCCTATCAGAGAGGTGACTGGTGTTCGGGTTACTTGATCAGTTGGAGCATGATATGCAGACTCCTCTTGGAGAGTGGGAGTCGATGGTACGAAGGTCTGGTTAAGACTTCGGAGCTCGGCGTTTTGTCGGCGTAGTTTGGCCAACTCCCTGGCATCGGCTTCTCTCTGTCGTCGGATAGCGGCCATTTCCTCGCGTAATGCGCGCATGTCGTCGTGAAGATCGGGCTGGGTTCTGTCAGTGGTCGGCCGAACCTCTTGTATCACAGGTTCCGGCTGGGTCTGAGGCATTCCGTACGGGTAACGTTCTTGGTTGGTCATGACTGGATTGCTTTCGGGGTTAGGGATCGGTTGGGTCGTTGTTGACTGTCCTTTTCACGTTACTACCATATCTTGGTCTCAGTCATAGAGTTGCAAGGGGCTGAAAACGTCTCTTCGGCCCCACGGTGGGCGCCAAATGTTCCTGTTTTAGGATACACACTTTAATTATCCTTGTTGTAGAGGGTTGGATCTTGGGTCTCGGTCTTCTCGTCCCTATCTGGGTAGTCCGAAGTGAGGGGGTGTGTCTGCAAAGACACTCCGACGCTCAAGTAAGTATTCGGCGTAATAAATGCGGTAGTTGAAAAATCTGTTACATACCTCGTTGGGATTCTATTTATAGTGGTTCTTATTGGGCCGTGATTAGTGGTTCTAATCCGATGCATTATGTTAATTAATCTCTCTGTAATTATCCTGACGTAGGTGCGGAGTTCGACCGAGCATACCAGCCCATTACGCTCGAGTTATGAGTGGTCGGCGGGTTCGGCGCTCGGCCTTAGCATCCGCGGGTTTGGGTGTCTGGCCTCGGTCTCGGGTGTTCGGACTGTTCGGACTGGTCAGCCACCATTCTTGTCTGAGACATGGTTAAACATTAATCGTGGACACTTTTTTCCATGAAAATTTGAACTTTGGTTTGTCACGTAGAAGACTAGTCCTTTTTGCTAGACTCAACTTGGTTTGTAATGCAATTGATTTGGCTCAGCATTTCTTCAAGTGTAATAATGCTTACAGGGTATGCAAAACCTGGAATGGTTTAAGAAGTTCAGTGAAATGTAACTACAGAAAATAGTGCTGCCTGATTAGACCAGAATGCTGCGTGTCATTTATGCTTGAGCGCTTGTTGAAGCTAAATGGAATATAACATTTGCAGATTAAAGGTATCAGAGAAGCAATGTGAATGAGAAAGAATGGAGATAGTGAAAATGGGTTTTGGAGAGATATATGGTCTGACCAAGAAGGGTACTTGAGAATATGCTGAGATAAAATGATATATTGGTCCAGTATGATCCAATGCTTTGCTTCTTTGAAGCAGTATTCACAATTTTTCTGGTTCTGCCATGTTTTGTTGCACAAAAGATATTATTAATACTAGAGCGGAAGAGCAATCATAGGTACTATTTCAATGTATCAAATATGTCTTTTACAGCAGTACGTAAAGAGGGAAACAAAATGAAAACTTGGGAATTTAGGATCTATTGTAGACCGAGGAGGGTGATGCACAGATACCAAAGAGATGAATGTTAGATTTCAGTGCCGGAAAGTCTATCAGATTTACTTGTATATTCATCTTATGAAAGTGAAGTTATAAACTTATAGAAGTCAAACATTAACTTCATTAAGTCGTATCATTAATTAATTATTTACTATCTAACTTTGTTGTTTCTTGATTTGTTTTATAGTGGGAAAGTCAATCAAATTTACCATATATTCTTCCTTGAAGATGGAGTTATAATATTCAAATATATAAATATATCATGACTGGGCAAAGTCGGAAGGTTCAATCAATTCATATACAAATGAATATTATAAACTAAAACATAAATCCAAACTAAAGAACCTAAACAAAAGAAAATGGAACTCCTCATAAGAGATGAGGGCAGGATTTATGGTGATCGAGTAAGAGTTAACTCCAAAATCTTCCATTCATTCAAGTTGGGATTTGAAGCCCATTGTTTGCTATGAATCCATTGTACTGGTTATTTTCAAAAGCGACCAACAACCAGAAATCTTTCTTCAGCCAGCAAACAATTCTTGAAATCTTATATTTGAGGAACTCCAATGCGGCAGAATACAACCTCGTATCATCAAAGATAAAGCTCCGTTGATATTCAAGAACCCAAGTGTTGGGGTCTAATTGAACTGCTGAAGCACCCCATTTTGGTTGCACCCATGATGTGTTGGCCTTCCGAGTCAAATAACCATGTCCATCACTCCACTTTATAAACAGAGAGACAATGACTCCAAGTTAGTCAATTGTCAACAAAAACAATGAATGATGGATGATAAAAACGAAAGCATTTCAGAGAATTCACCTGAGTGACTCTTCCTGATAAGATAGTCAATGTTCGAAAAGATAACCCATTTGTGAGCAATCCTGCTGTTTGCAGAGGCCATCCCCAAATTGTTACCTCTTCTATTGCTGATTTGTACAGTGTGCACCTTGAATTCAATAGCAGGCCATCCTATACAAAATTGTAGTTGTTTATTTGTCAGCAAAACTTTCTTATCATTGACGAATTGAAAGTAAAATATGTTCCAAGTCACTCGACATTTGGTCAAGCGAGATACACTTTTGTTAATTACTTTTAGTTTCCAAGTTTTTTGGACCATTGTACCCTTGATAGCAATACCAATATGTAAATTTATCATCTTACTTCTTCCATTTTGTTGGCATCCTTTCATCAGATAAGTTGGTTAGACAGATAAATGATTTGAAAAATATATATATAAAAAAATAGCTGCATAATGCTCTCCTATTAAATTTTATGATTTAATTATCTTTTTATCCTATAATTTAATGAACTTTACCTTTTAATTTAATTCCGATAATTAAAAAGGTTTCATTTTAACTACTTCATTGCTACTTCAAAATGAAGTATAAGATCACAAAGTATAAGACACAAATTCACCGCATTTCGAAAATACAAGGACTAAAACTATGTAATCAACTTTGACTAATCCAAAACGCATTCTACCCAAGAATCAAGAAACTTGTATAAAGAGTGATACAATACCTGGCTGATTTCCCATAAGGTATCAGTGAAGCTACAATTGGAAACTTGACCCCCAACAACACTTGCCAACTCTTTCTGCAAAAGCCTCAACTTTCCATTCAAATCATGCACTCGGCTGCATTTCTCACCGACCCTTTTCACCACATCCGGTGACAAAGAAGGTTGAAAAACCCCAGAAGCCAGCAAGGGGAAAACAAGGTCCGCAGATAAGAAGATTCCCAAAAAGAGTAGCAACTTGAAGAAACTGAAACAAGAAGTTTGTTCCTTGGCGTGTTTTTCCATTCTATGGGTTGAGTCTGATGTGGCAGTGGATTTGAAGAGAGGAGTGGATGGAGATGGCTGAAAATCAGTGGTTGATGTGGGTGTGGAGAGAATGGAAGCATCAAAGGAGATAGGGGTGCAGTGAAGATTGGGTTTGGTGAGGGTGCTTTTGTGGACGCTTGTGGTTGTGGGCATGAGATCAAGGGTGGCACTGATGCTGGCCAAGCACATTTCGCACTTGCAATTCGCATTTTTCTTGCAATCAGGGAAGTAGCAGCTGCTGTCACGGTTTTCTTCTTCCGATATGGACTTTGACTTCGACTGCAGAATAACGCTTCTCATGCCTTCTTTCTTCCTTCTCCGCGGATTTTGTTTTCTTTTTTGTTATAATGGTTATTCTTCTGGCGGAGGTGTTGCAAGTTGCAACCTTTGAATTGAACGTGGGTTCAAGCTCTCAGCTTTGAATTTGAATCCCAACGGTCATGTTATCCACCTCAACACGCGATCGTACTCAAATGACACTCGTAGCCCCGATACTCCAGGATTTTATTTTCTTCACGTTTGTTAGGGTGTTTTAACTTCAAAAATTAAAAACTACTTCTCATACGAATTTATTTTGACGTTCTCGTTATCGTGTAGTTATATTTAATTGTGATTAATGAATATGATCTTGTAGAATCTTTTTTTTTATTTTTTAAACCCATTGTAGAATCTCTTGTTAACACACATATATATATATATATTTATTTATTTATTGTGTATGATAGAGAGAGGGGAATCAAGAAAGAGAAAGTGAAGAATAGGTAAAGAATAAAAATATTGTTTGATTGAAGAGAAGTATAAAAGAAATAAAGAAGTGAAAGTTAATTTTTTTAGAAGTTGTTTAATATGAAAATTAATTAAAAAAAATTATTATTTTGACTATTGTTATTATTTTTTTTTTGTAAAAATAAGAAAGATTACAAAGATGGTCGCAATGAGGATTGAACTTAAGTTCTCATGCTTCTAACTACCTCAACTCCTCCTCACTCAACTACTAAGCTAACCCTAGTAATCTTTGACTATTATTATTATATACACTAGTAAGGTCGAGGCACTTCGTACCTCTATTAAAGATAAAATAAAATAAAATTTAAGTAATAATTATATGTTGATCTAATGTTATAATTAGTTAATTAATTTTAAGATCTTGAGTTTGATAAGTTATTTTTTCTAATTATTTAAAATAAAAAGGTATAATGATCAACAAAATATGGAGATCATGGTAATTACTAAAAGGATATCCCTATACTAATATATTATACTTGATTATTTTAAACGGATGCACAAATGATAGTGTCAATTTTGCCCGGAAGACTTTTGTTGTGAAACTCACGTTATTTTTAAAAGTTTTCGTCCAACTTCTTTGTTACCAAACTTGCGTAAGCAAGAAAGCTACATTTCATTTTTTTTGTTGTTGTTAAATTGTAACTATCAAATGCAATTATAATTAGTGTTATCAAAGTGGGCTCAGCCTGGTGAATCAATCCGGCCCACCATAGGTTCGAGTCGGGTTGGGTTGAAAAAAATTACAAATTTTAATACAGGTCAATTTTAAACCCGGCTCACTCGGGTTGAACCCGTGGTGAGTCGGGCTAGCTCACCAACTTGTAATTAAAAAAATATAATAATTATTGGGCCATGGTGCAGGTCAACATGAAATATTAATGATTTAATGTTGGATTGTGATTTGTAATTTTTATAATTTTGGATTGTATTTGAAGTTTAAGATGATTTTGGATTGTATTTGAAGTTTAAAATGATTTTAGATTATATTTATCTATTTGAGATTATTTAGATTTGATTTGATTGTATTTAAAATTATCATTTAATATTTGAGATGAATGATTCATTTATAGATGTCTTAATTAAGAATCTTAGATTTTTAAAATAGGTTTGAGCCTTGTAGGCTTTAGTTGTATATTAAGAAAATAGATGAAAAAAATATTTTTTTAAGGTGAGTCAATCCGTTTAACCCACCAACTCGTAGTAGGCTGGGTCGGGTTCAATTTTTTTTAGCTCATTAATAAATGAGTGAGGTTGGATTGACCCACCAAATGGTCAACCCATGGTGGGCAGGGTTGGACCAGGTCGGGTGGTCCGTTTTGACAGCTCTAACTATAATGATATTAAAAGACTAATATATTTTGGCTAACCTATTTTAAATAGGGTTCTCTCTTAATTAGAAACATTACTCGGATAAGGATGTATTCAAAATTTACCTATAAAAATAAAAATGAAAAATCATGATATTAAAAAAAACATAACAATTATAATTAATTGATTTTAATTTTTCAATCAATTACAATACAAATTTTAGGATTTTCATATGTCATTATAGGATTTGGTCCGAGCTTGCAATCTTCGTGACACGAGTTCGACACCATTGTGATTATAAAATCTTAATTTGATAGATATATTTACTTACGAATATTCGTTGATGTCAGAAGTGAAATTCTCTTATTCACCCTTAGTTCAATAGTGAAATTCTCAAACGGAATATTACTAAACTTTGGTAAAATACTAAGTGGATACTACTATTTTATCTGAGGATCTTTAGTATGTTATTGATTTTTTGTTCAATAGTTATAGGGTGTCATCCCCTATTTATTATTTTGTAACAAAAAAAACTCAATACAAATTAAAAAGTTCAATAAAACCTAAACTTAAATATTAAATGAGACTTTTCTTTAATACAAGTTTCAAAACAATAATTAAACTTATTAAGGAAATTTGACCTACCAAAGTGATCGACTAGACAAATCAAATGACTTAACTTAATAACTATTTTTAATTAGTTGATCCAACAAGTTCAACTTATTCTATCTTTCTAATATGAACTAACTTATCTTAGTGTACCCATAAAAAAAAAAAATTGATTCTATATGATTTTAAAAAATAGAATAACTTGTAATTTTTTGTTGTTTTAACTTCAACTCTAGACATTTAGCTCACCTTTAAAGTGGATTAATTCATTTATTTCAGTGTCACCACAATCAACCTAAGTTTAAATTCACTTAAACTACATAACATGTTAGTTGGTAAGAAGGTACCAAAGATTTATATATCACTTTATATCTTAAAGTTTAGAAAAAATAACTTATTATACCAAATTTGTTACAAAGTATTCTTGAAGATTCTAATAGATTAGATCAAAATAAAGCACTGAAATGAGATTGAGATGTGATATTTTTTATTTTGCTACAAATATTCTTTAATTTATTGAACCAAAGACTAATATAACTCATGTTACTATGACTTATTGACTTTAATAACTTTTACATACAATAAGGATTAGCTACAAAATTTCTTATTAAATAAATTATTATCATGATATGTTAGTGTATAGTGCATGACTATTATGTCAGCCCATCAAAGTTCATTGAGATCTAATGTATATCAATATAGTAACTTCAAATAAAAATGAGTTTGGATAATCACATGAAAATTATGTTATGAAAATGATACTATAAAATGAAAAAAAAAAAACCCAAAAAATACCATGTAAATTTTTTGACACAATCAATAAAAAAAAGTTTTAAATATAAATTTTAAAGTAATTATTATAAAAGTGAAATTGTAATATATAATCGAATCTCGTATGGAACTTGCAAATAGTCAGTCTATCACTATCAATTCTTGCTGCCTTGGGTCTATGCTAGCTCCTGTATTTCTTATACAAAATTCCTCTAAACATGCAAAATATTTATACTGTCACTATTTTTTTATATTTATATTTATAAAAAATAAAAAATAAAAAAAAACTCTTTTATGCTTCTATAAGATTTTTATTTTGCCATTTTCTTTTAAAATTTCGTGTTAGTAGGTAAAAGTAGAGAATCCATCCAATAATCGCTGAAAATTATTTTCCTGATTGACAATTGACAATTCATTAGAATATAGGGAAATTGAAGCACCTTTTTCAAATTTTCAACATGTGTCAACTGAAGGGAAAGTTCAGCGATGAATGTTGGGCCAAAGCAACGAAAATAGGAAAGCTGCGGTGGAAAATGCTCACCTTTCCTAGAGACTAGAGAGAAAAGATTGCGCAATGAATGAGTTCCGAAGCTTTTTCAATGGCAATCGTTGTTCTGCCTTCTCAAACATAATGCTATGTTCTCCACTATTGGGACACGGCAAATTCTTGGAAACCGGTGTGTCCTTTTCATGGGTTTCTTTCCTCATCAAACTCTTTATTAGAACAATGCATCTTCATCACCAAACGAGTCAAGATGAAAACATCTTATACATTTCCATACAAAACTAACGTTATATGCTTCTATCTCACGCTTCCTCTCTCACTGTTTGGGGAAGGGAAAAAAATATGAGGAGGGAAAGCAAAGAAATGAGAGAAAAATTAGATGAATAAAAAAATGAAAAGAAAGAAGTAAAAAAATTCGTCCATGCTTTAATTGAATTAATGAAAGAGTGAGTAGAGAAAAAATAATAATAAATGTAAAAAAGATATTTCTACTCATGTGGATCTATGGATTTTTTTTAGAGAATGATTAAAAATGATTGAAAAGAAAAATACCTTTTTCTATAACATCTCCCTAAAGAATTGAAATAAGATAAATCTCTCTCCTTAGAAGAGAACTTTTTTATTTTAGGTTTCACACTAAATTTTTGTCTTATCATTTCTATCTATAACAAAATAAGTTAAATGGAGAATTCCGTCCAATCTTCATCCTCTTTGGGTTTTTTTCTATTATATTTTCTATTGAATCAAACATAGCATTATACTTCGCTCAGTTTTAGAGAAGAAAATGGTGAAGGAAAAATCAAAAGATAGGAAAATACATAGAGCTTTGTGTCATTTAGCATGTGAGAAAAATGAAAGAGAATGAAGAGAAAAAATAAATAAAAATTAAGCTATCTCTCCACTTAAAAGAAGAAAGAAAAACACACCACTAAGGAGAGAAAAACGCCCAATCAATTTTTTTTTATTAAATAGAAATGTTTGAGGAAGAATCACTTTGCAAATCATTATAAAGACTTTTCGATTCTATTTTATTTTATAAAACTGATTTTAGATTAACTTAGTTTTTACACTTGATTTTATTTGAAAGTGAATTGATTAACGTGATTTTATGTTTATAAAAAATACTGGTAATACATCTTCTAATACACTTAAATACATTGATTGAATTTTTCACCAAAAGAAATACATTAACAGAAATTTATTTAAAATTATTATTTTGGTGGATCTCACTTTTTATTAATGAGTCTCTTTCTTAATTTTATAATTTTTGATAAATTTTAATCAATAATAAATATGCACGGGAAATAATGGTTTTAGCATTTTTTTTTCCATGTTTATATATATATATATATATATATTTTATTAAAAGTGAATTTCTTTTTAAAAAAAAGCTAATTAAGCATAATTTAACAATATTTAGTCAAATATGCTTGAAGCAGCATGAAACTCGATTTATATCTCCACTAGGAGTACCCATTTTTTTATTTTGTGAAACTTT